AGTCCTGGACAAAGCAAGCTGCGACTGAACATGCGTTCCCTCTGCTCTCTACCCGCGGATGCAGTGTGATCAGCTGATTCATGTTCCTACCGTGAGTGCCTCTCCATGATGGGATGTATCTTCAAACCGTAAACCAAAATAAACACCTTTCTCCCTTAATTTTCTCTGTCAGGGTATTTTTTATCACAGCAACAAGACAAGTAACTGATAGAGTTATGGAGGGCTTTCTTACTTTCTCGGGAGTCTGCACACAGCACCAGGAGATACTGGCGCGAGGGGTGGGGGTGGCACCGACATGTGTTGGATCAAGCAAACTGCTATGCAGGTATTTACTCTGAATTAAACTTTTACCTCATAAAGGAGTGCAGCATGTGGTGGCACATGCCTTCAGTTCCCAGCATTTCTAAATTCAAAAGAACACACAAGTCTTGAAGCTAGAGGGATATCTCAACGGATTCTTGCTTTGCTGCAAGATGTGGGGACAAGTGTTTGTGCTCCTAGCGCCCACACAAAATCCAGAACAGGGGTATGCATGGGACCCCAGAGCTGGGGAAATGGAGACAGGAAGATCCAATGGTCTTGATGACCAGCCAGTCTAGCTGCAGGTTCACAGAGAGACCCTGCAAAGCCCCTCACCAAGGTTTACTACTCATATGAGCAGTAACAAAGATCTCTGAGCTGTCTGCAAGCCACGCGGGGATCTCGGGGATGAGGTTTCATGTGTTGTCACCTGTGCTGGGGTAAGCTTTTCTTTCTTTTTTAAACTCATTTTTGACTGCATGTAGTCTGTGCACCACATTCGTGCAGTGCCTGAGAACGCCGGAGGATCCTAGAGAACTGAAGTTAGATTGTTGTAAGCCTCTGTGAGGCCTGGAAATTAAACCAGGGTCCTCTAAAAAGAACAGCCAGTGTTCTTAACCACTGAGCCATCGCTCCAGCCCCTGGAGTAGGCTTTTAAACGATGCAACTGCCTTTGATTGATCCAGGCATCTATAAGTAACCCCTCGTCTATGCACCTGTAAGTAATGACAAAAATATAATTTGTTCAGCAAGCTGTAGTGGGGTAGAAACATTTCTATGGTCTATTGTTGGTGCCTTAGCTGGGGCAAAGTAAAACTTTTTGTATCTCTCCGGAGAAGTCACATAATGTAAGTCTTCTCACCCATTCCTCAAGAGCTGTGTCTGGCTACTCCTTTCAAGAAAGAGCTACCCATTAAAATTCCAGAGACCTCTGCTTAACTATCCCACATTTGGAAATCTGATATACAGAATTGGAAGTCTGTCTGTAAGGACCCAAGTTCCAGGACCTTAAGAAGAAACACTAAAAACATTCTGAACATCCACGAAACGAGGACACGCTGAATAACTACAGAATGTCCATACTACAGAATGTCCCATGCAGGTTTTCCCATAATTTTTTATTGTACTAAGATACACATAAAATTTACTACTCTATTCTGCCATGGTTTGCATATAAAATGTTCCCCAACCCTTACGTGTTAAACATCATGCCAACTACAACGGTCAGAGGAGGACTTTGGGGAAGTGATTGGATCCCGAGAACCTGGCCTTATCAATAGATCTGTAATCTAATTGTTGGGATGTGGTAGAATGCAGGAGGTGGGCAAAGTTGGAGGTCGTGGGTGATAGGGATGTTCCCTGCAAGGCCCCGGTCCTCCCACCATAGTGCTTAGCCTTCTCTGACTCACTCCTTGGTGGCTGCCATCATGAGCACAGCTTTTCTCTGTGATCCCTCCCGCCATAGTGCTTTGTCTTGCCACATGCCTAACCTTGGACCAAAACCTAAAGCTGCGGCTCAGCACAAACCTTTCCTTTGAGTTGGTTTTCTCTTCTGTTTTGTGATAGCAATGACAAGAGACTGGCAGGCATTTTCAGTGCACAGCTCAGCAGCATGCGGGACATTTGTACAGATTTTCTGTGTATCTTACCACAATAAAAATGTTGGGGAAAACCTGCAGGGTAGCCATCTCCCAATGTTCATTCCCAGAATGTTCTGGCTAAACAACTGAAACTCAGCTGGATGGTGGTGGCTCCTGTCTTTAATCCCAGCACTTGGGAGGCAGAGGCAGGTGGATCTCTAAATTCAAGGTCAGCCTGGTCTGCAAAGTGAGCTCCAGGACAACCAGGGCTACACAGAGAAATTCTGTCTTGGGAAGAAATAAAAAGCCTGAAACACTAGAAGAAAATAGAAATGATCCCCATTTAACAGAGCTTTGTTGTATATTAAATGTAATGAAATGTCAAGCACAGACAGCTGTTACCCCAGAAATGAGCAAAATAATAAAACAGAACAATCCAGACATGACAAAAAAGAGAAATACAGAAACAAAAAAGATAAAGAGAGCTAGGCAGTGGGGTCGCACGCCTTTAGTCCTAGCACTCGGGAGGCAGAGGCAGGCAGATAAGTGTGAGTTCAAGACCACCCTAGTCTACCCGGAGTGAATTCCGGGACTGCCAGGGCTGTTACGTAGAGGAACCATGTCTCAAAAAATAAAACAAACAAAAGGACGTGTAGACGGAGGCGGAGTCATAGAGATATAACAGACCAAGGTTTGGGGAGGTGCTCAAGGAGCAGAGAACACCCCAGCCAACCAGAGAAACTGACCAGAGGTGAAAAGAGAGTCACAGAAAGGTGAGACTTGTCAGGGTGAGTTCTGAGCCCCAGAGACAGGAGCAGGGTGGGGGCGCTGGTTCGAGAAACAATAATCTTCACACTCTATAACAACACTGGAAACTCAGTAGCAGAGGTAAAGCAATTAAGTTTACAACCTTGCTAAATCAGGTGGGCATAAAAAGAAATGACTTGCGTGCTGATTTGGCACAAAATAATGCTGCTGTTGCTCTATATCCCTCAAATAGATTTTCCTTGACCATTGAATTTCTCATTGCTGAGTTCTTCAGAGAGATACAATCTTTCCTGCGTGTCTAGCAAAGTCCCCACCCTAAATTCCTCCATCCTTCTGGGGCTTCCGAACCCCTTCTCTTTCCTGATACACGGGCAGACTGTAACTTTTTAACTCTAAGATAAATTAAAAAGTACCCAGGCAAAAGGGGACAAGCTTCTAGCTAGGCAAGACATGGGGAAAGTGCCTCCTCGCCTGTCGTCCATGGTGAACTCTAAGTGTACCTACTACTGAAAATGGACAGCAGTTTATTTCTGGCTACTCCCAACTATATGTTGTGAGTATTATTTTAACTATGTAAAGATGTGTTACATTTGTTTGTGCTACAGAATATTACTCTAACTGTGTAAAGGTGTGTGACATTTGTTTGTGCTATAGAACATTACTCTCACTGTGTAAAGGTGTGTGACATTTGTTTGTGCTACAGAACATTACTCTAACTGTGTAAAGGTGTGTGATATTTGATTGTGCTACAGAACATTACTCTAACTGTGTAAAGGCGTGTGACATTTGTTTGTGCTACAGAACATTACTCTCACTGTGTAAAGGTGTGTTACACTTGTTTCTGCTGCCTTTGTTAACAGTGTAAAGCTGTGTGGCATTTATTCTTGTGGCATTTGTTGAATTATGAAAAGATGTGTTGCTGTCTCACCTCACCTGCCTAAGGTACCTAATTGGTCTACTAAAAAGCTGAATGGCCAATAGCTAGGCAGGACAGAGACAAGCAGGGCTGGCAGGCAGAAAGAATAAGTAGGAGGACTAAAGCAGAACCCTACCTAAGCCTAGACACTCGCACCACATCCTCCCTCCCTCTCTTTGGGTGCCACCCAGAGGAATTCTGTCTTGACAAACTATATATATATACATTTTCCAGTATTTCTGAAATGGCCATACTTTTGTTTTGAATTTTGCCGAGAAGTGTGCAAGCACGGATGTGTATTATAGACTCCTAGAGGTCAGAGACCAACTTTGATTGTCCTTCAGATGCCATCACTTTGTATTTTGAGACAGAGTCTCTCCCTGTGACCTGGAGCGGGCCACTTAGGCTCAGCATCTGTCCAGGGAGTCTTGCGGACTTACTGATCTCTACCTCTCCAGGGCAGAGATCCTAAGTGTGTCACAAAACCAGGCTTTGTACAAGATGCTAAGGATGAAACTCAGGTCCTCGTGATTCCATGGCAAATGCTTTACTGAGTGAGCCAGCTTCCCACCCCCCACGGTTTTTATCATCAGAAATTAGGACTTTAATAAGAAATACAAAAGGGTGTTAGGTGGTGGCGCACGCCTTTAATCCCAGCACTAGGGAGGCAGAGAGGGGTGGATCTTTGTGAGTTTGAGGCCAGCCTGGTCTACAGAGTGAGTTCCAGGATAGCCATGTTTGTGTAGAGAGAGAGAGGGAGGGAAGGAAAGAAGGAAGGAAGGAGGAAGGGAGGGAGGGAGGGAGGGAGGGAGGGAGGGAGGGAGGGAAGGAAGGAAGGAAGGAAGGAAGGAAGGAAGGAAGGAAGGAAGGAAGGAAGGAAATACAAACAGGCTTTCCTGAGGGAATAGCTCTGATAGAACAAAAGCCTTCTCCAGAGAAGGGTTAAAAAGTGGGCAGGTTCTAGGAAGTAACCCTCCTCAAATCAAGTTCTGTCTCTACTAGCTGGGGAGGCTGGCTCCCCAACCGGCTTCTCAGAAAGTTCAGAAAGTGACCAGACTTCAGTCGTCAGCAAACTTCAGATTGATTGGGGTTGAAGAATAGCAGGGTAGTGAAAAGAGGGACTGTATGTCACTGTTCCTCTTGCCTTCACCCCTGCCAGCCCACCCCACCCCCACCCCCGCGTGTGGGAACTGAGCAGGGTGATCAGTGGTGAGCCAGAGCGTCAGGCCCCAAGACTGTGACATGGAAAGACACAGGCACACCACAATCCTTTTATTTCTCACTCACACTCAGACAGCAGCCGGCTCCGCAGTGACTCGGCCCCCAGCAGCAGTGAGGAAGAGACTCTGTCCATCCCAGGGTCATGCTGACCTGCCCCTGGCTTCCTCTATACACTTTACCCTTCCTCCCCAGGAACCTGCCCGAGGGCCAGGCCCTCAAGAGGGCCAGCAATGCCCCTGAGGCTTGTCCCTCAAATTGTGTCTCTCTAGGCCAGTGGGCACATTCTCCAGAACGTCACCCAATGAGAACAAACAAAAAGAGATATCTTCGTAGGAGGCCCTCGACCCACTCTCAAACAAACAGGCAAAGGCCAGGGATGCCCCAGGCACAGGCCCAAGGAACGCCAAGTCAGAGTAGCCACTGGGGCCCTCATAGATCACCCAGGGCTCTGACCAGCTATGGGGATCCAAGGGGGACCGGCTCAGGTAAATTCCCATGTGGAGCCGAGCTCTACGCCCTGATGGGTGGGAATACAGCAGCCATGTGGGACTCTGAAGCGGGGAAGCAGAGGACATGGGGAGTTCTGGGGACCAGGCTGTCTTAACTCCACCTGACCCAGGTTCTAGGCCGTGTTTCACTGGGCCCCAGGACTGTGGGGAGCCGAATGGCCCTCTGGGAACCCAACCCTCAACAGAAACCCCAACACCTTCCCCTGAAGACTCCTGTCCTCTAAGATAGAAGGATGGGGACTGTGGGGTTTTCCCAAGACCCACTGGCCACCGGTCCTCCTGAGACCTGCTGGAGGGTGGGGCTGGGAAGCCCACAATGCTACCCTGGCAACCACGGGCAGTTTCAGCCAATGTAGGCACCAGCTCCCCTGGTAGGAAAGAGGTGCCCTCATCAGCGCTCAGTGCCTGCACCCGGTTTCCTAGAGGGCTCCTGGCATTGCAGTAGAGGAAGTCTCCATCCACCGCAGCCAATTGGCACTCTCCAGAGCGCAGGTTGGGCACAAGGCCTCCACAGTGCCAGGAGATTCCGTGGTCATCACTGTAGAAAGCCAGGGAGTGGGGACTGGTCCAGCAGATCCTGCCAAAACACTCCCGACGGTCCACGTGATAGGTGTAAGCAGGAACAAGCAGGCGACCTGAGCGCAGCTGGACTCCGTGGCCTGGACCCACAGCAAAGGTGGCCCAGTCTACAGAGAGAAGGAGCCAGAACCTTCGGTTATAGGTCAGCTGACTGCCGACCTATCCTGGACCCCGAATGCACCCAGAATGTGTGCAATGGAGTCTGCCAAGGCTGTCTTCAGAAAGCTAGGAGCCTGCTTGATCGTGTGCTTTTTAATAGTTTTTTTAAATATGTATTTTTAATTATGCGCATTTGGAGGGTGTGCACATGAGTGTGGGGGCCCATAGAGGCCGAGGTGGCAGACACTCTGGAGCTGGAGTTACAAGCAGTTGTGAGCCACCCAATCCGGGCACAGGGAACTGAACTCCAGTTCTCTGCAAGAGCTGTAAGTCATACAAGCTCCTGGTCATCTCTCCAGCCCCTTGGCCAAGTGTTTTGCTTTTTGCCTTGGGATGCAAAGCACAGAAACCAGGCCAAACCAGTGGCCTACCTCTGAGCCACTCCCCAGCCATTGGCCAACAGACACTTGGCCGAATGATCACCAACAGAGCTCAACCTCTGGAGCAATTGCTACACAGGGCAGTGGAGGAAGGAGACCTCGGATGAGGCTTTTGATGAGTCCAGTTTCCTTGTCTCCCTCTCAGAAGCTGCTATATCCCTCTATGTAGTACTCGTGGGCCATGGACCAGGTCCTATAGCCCCTAGGGCCACTGCCTATCAGCATGGGGCAGGGTGGTGGATGAGGAACCGACCAGTAGGCCAGCAACTGGGGAGTAGGGGCTGCAGAGGAGAGAAAAAAAGACTGAGGCCCAAAAACCAAAAGACTGAAGTCCAGAGATCAGGGCTGAATGAGGAGGAGGTGAAAGGGAACAGAAAGTGGTAAAAGAGAAGGGTTTGGGAGTTAGGACTAAGAGCCGCAATCCTCTTCTCGGCCGACCAAGACAAGGAGAGCCTCTGGTGGGCTTACGTTGCCAGCCGTGCCAACACCTATTGGCCTGGTGCTGAAGATGCTTGGGAAATGCCAGACAGTCCTAGAGACAGCATTAGGAGGTCATTGCTCGTGGGGACAGGGAGTGGCAGAGTGAAGATTTCCAAGTGATTGGTGGACCTATGCAAGGGGCAAGCCCAAGCCCCCTTGAGGCCACGCCCATATTGCCCTGTCCTGTTCCTACCCACCCTGCTCCTCCACCCCATACCTCTAGCCCACCCCACACCAGGTGCCACCTACCCTGCAATGCTGCACCAATGGCCTCCTCAGTAAGGTCTCGCACACTACCCCAGGTCTGGCCCGCGTCACAGCTGGTCACACAGCAGAGTCGAGCAGCGTTCTTGCCAGTGGCAATCTGCACAGCCTCTGGCGTGTGGCCCAGCACGGCAATGAAGAAGAGAAAGATGGTCCCGGAGTGTTCGTCCAGTACCGGGCAAGGGTTCATGGACCTGTGCTCCTCCAGCACCGCAGTCTCCAGCACAGTCAGGGTGCCCCACTGAGGGAAAAGAGGCAGCTGGTCAAGGCATCTGGAACCTGGACCTCAGTCTCAGGGGCTGGGGGGGGGGGATCAATAGAGCTGGGCTTCAGTTTCTGCTCTGCACCGAACACTCACCCGCACTGAGCCCCTGGCCAGTGTGCCCCTCCGCAGCACCAGGCGGTGAGCATGGGAGTCATCGGGGCTAAGTCGCTGTTCCGCGAAAGCCAGCAATGTTGGCCTGGGAGGCACACAGAGCAACGCAGGCACACGGTAGGTCAGGCCTGTCCTCTCCCGCTGAAAGAGCACCGTCCTTCGGGGAACACGCGGAGCTCCCATGCCCTTTAGGTAGGTGCGGGCACCTGGAATCTGTGAGGGAGGAGGCTCCACAGATTTACCTGGCCACAAGCAAGCCCCACACCTGCCTGCCCATCTTGACGGCCCTTTCCATCACCCTTGCCCCAGATTTCCCACAACCCATCCTCAGGCCACTCACAGCCTCGGCACCCCAAATCTCTATAGAGCCCCCTCATTCTCTCCAAGCTGTTTCTTTGCCAGGCTAGCTGGTGCTGGGATGCCGGGGAGCTGGGCAGAGTGACCCAACATCCTGCCAGCTAGTGTACCCTGGACGCATATCACCACAGAACTCACCCAGTGAGAGTATGGGCAAATGGACAAAGTCAGACAAAAAGAGAGGGCTCAGTGTCCACAAATATGGTATGTGAGACCAGGAAAGGCATACCACACAGCAGGGACAGATGAACACTGGAACCTACCCACGTGGAAGCAGAAGGGAGCTCTAGAACTCTCTATAGGAAATAGCTTCAGACACGGGAGATGGACTACTGGACCCTGCAGAGCTGTCCTCACCTGCAGCACATGTACCAAGTGGCTCTCATAGGCACCAGAGAGAGCCAGGGGCAGCGCCGATCAAAAGGCAGCAAAAGGAAGGAAAGCCAAGGAGATCAGAGAGTTCCCGGCTGGGCCCTAAATTGGTGTCAGTGTAAAGGCTGAGAAAGTAGAGGAGTGGGGTGGGCAGCATCCCAGGGCCAGGAGGACGTAATGACTGGGGGATGGGCAAAGGTCTCTCCTTAGGGTCATCCACTGTCTCGTCTCCCACTCTGTACTCTGCCCCGTAACCACCTCCTAACGTCACAAGCCAGGAATCAGGCAGGCGACAGTCTCTGTGTTGTGGTCGGTGATGCCTATGAGCAGCTTACCCCTTCTTGTCTATACCCTCTGGAGCCCTGAACTGTGGGACAGCCGGGAAACACGTCCACATAGAACTGAAGCCGCAGGAGGGAGTAGCCAGGCAGTCCCAGAGCGTGGTACTTCCCCACTTAGCCTCTCAAAGAAGGATCAGTGGCAGGTAGGTTAGGGGCATGAACCGGGCCTGCCAGGGACCACTGTCCCATTTACACAATGGCAGACCAGAAAGTGAGGGTCTATAGCTGGTGTGGGGTTGATGGGAAGGCATGGCAGGGGTGCATTACCTGCAGGACATGAACAGTCAGGGTCTACAACCACCTAGGCCAGTCACCACCAGTCAAGCAGCTCATGGCCAGGTACCCCAGACCAGACCAGACCAGACCAGAGCCAAGCACACAGCCCACACCAGCCACTCCTGACCAGCCTGCCACAAGTCACACAGAAGTAACTAGTAACCAGCACAGAGGGGGAGCCAAGAGATCAGGATGCTAGTGTGGCACCTGGACAGAGCTCAAGCCTCAGTAGGGACCTAGCATGACCTCCCAGACTAAAACCCAGGACAAAGAAGTCGAGGACAGTCACTCACATACAGCACCAGCAGGCTCCGCAGACCACAGAGGGCTATGCTGACCACCACTAGCTCCCAGCCTTAGGTCCTCTGCGTCTACCAACCACAGTCCGCGCCACAAGCTCCGCGATGCACGCTGTTCTGCTCACCCACTCCCAGCTCTGGGCCTTCTGAGCGGCTTCCCATCTCCTGGAAGCCCCCAGCTCTGCACTCAAAGGGCAATTGTGCCCAAGTAGAAGCAGGTGCGAGAAGCCAAATGTCCCTTCAGACTGCACAGGCACAAGAGAGACATTTTCTCTGTATTTGGATGGCTTCCAAAGCCTCAGACCATGGGGACTGTGAATACAGACTGCAGAAGCTGGGAGCCTGAGCCCACTCCCCAAGCTGGGAGCACAGCAGGACAGAGAGAGGCTCCAAAGACCACCAGGTCACTCCCATTGCACACAGGGGAAACTGAGGCCTACAGAGGGGACAGAGTTGTCATCCATTAGAGACATCCTTTCCTGAGTCAGCTCTGAGTTTCCATGGAGCCTCGCTGCCCCAGGGAGACCTCGGGTGAAGAGCAGAAGCTGGACCTCCCCCATACCAGCTGCCCATGTGGCCCATTTAGCAAGTTCCAGGGACGGGGATTGTCCAGGAAAGCTGGGTTTCAGCACAGGCTCGTGCCGTCCTGGGCCAAGTCCTTCTTGGGAGAGGAATCACAGAGAAGAAATTGAAGTCTCGGCTCTGGCAGAGATGGCCACAGACTTCCTGTTACAGCTCGATCTGGGCAAGCTGCTACCCCAAGTACCAAAGCCGGCCCACATCTTTACCTCCTACCCTCACAGGCCACCCCATGTTTTGACTTGTTGACTTGATACTAGGGAAATCAGAGTCCCTTCTCGGGGTCCTTAATCTTGATTTTTTTTTTAAAAAATAAACTACCCTTTTTGCTGTTTCACTTTGATTTGGTATCTATAAAGATTATGTGTATCTATAAATAACTTGGATCTTCCTATTGTACCATGGAAGGTTGAGCCAAGAAGATTTCAGAGCCAGCTAGGAACATAGAAAGACACCCATCCCCAAAAGAGGATGGCAAAAATAACCAGTATAACGGTAGGTGCAAGTGAGAAGCCATCGAATGACAGAGGTTTTCCCTCAAACGCTAATAAAATTGCCTGAGAGCTTCCCTCTGGGACCATTATTAAATTCTTTTATGAAATTTTAATTCAACCCAATTAATGAATTAATCAATTTAAAAGAATTGTATAAATTCTTTTAATGAAATTAAACTAATGAATTAATTTAAAATGATTTCATAATTTCTTTTAATGAAACTAAGAATTTAATGGCACACGCCTTTAATCCCAGCACTCAGGAGGCAGAGGCAGATGGCTCTCTGTGAATTTGAGGCCAGCCTGGTCTACAGAGTGACTTCTGTGTAGTCAGCTAGAACTACACAGAGGAAACCCTGTCTCAAAAAACAAACAAAAAAATTATTGAAAATAGCTAGAAAATAAATTATTCCCAACTGTGGCGGTTTGATGGCCCCCAAAGGGACAGGCACTGTAAAGAGAAACAGGCCATGAATTTGAGAGAGAGCTAAGTAGGAGGACATAGGAAGGGGTGAATGGAGGCAAGTGAAAATGAACTGATCATGTTTTTTATTTCTGGTATTTATTCAAGTAAAGTATTAAAAATAATGAAGGAAAAGGAGTAGAGAATATATATATATATAACTCAATAAAAACAATAAAAATAATAATAAACATTTGAACAGACTGATAGCTTATCCTGGAGAAACGTTAATTTGTCCTGCATTTTACTCCTGAATTATTTCTCCAGCAGCTGCCGGGCCTCAGCATGCAGCGAGACATCATCATGCTCCATTTCCGTGTCATCCGCAAAAGGGAGACAATTGCCTTTCATGCATCTGCCTTTACATAATTCATAAATTCTTAATCCATCACTGAATGCACAATTAGCTCACGTGATGTTTTTATTTTAGCAACAGGACTTTCCCAATGAAGGATTTGGGGCATGGTCTACATCCCATCACAAACTCCTTAATCCAGCGTTTGTTCCAGAGTGTTCTCCCAACCTTGCAGCTCTAGTCTCAGAACACACTCTCCTCCACAAAACTTAAGCTCCAAACCATGTTACCAAGGAGAAAATAAGAATGAGTATAGCTTCCAAAAAAAAGAAAAGAAATGGGAATTCTTTTTATAATTTATTTTTATTTTATGTGCATTGGTGTTTTGCCTGCACGTATGTCTGTGAGGGCGTCAGATTCCCTGAAACTGGAGTCGCAGACAGTTGTGAACTGCCATGTGGGTGCTGGAAATTAAACCTGGGTCTTCTGGAGTCATCTCTCTAGCCCTGAAATTTTTGATATAGTATAAATATTTTTCTTTAGCATTTATATTAAAAACAAACTAATAATTTTTATTTTTTAAAATATTATATATATATATACACACACACACACACACACACACACACACACACACACACAATAGTCTGCCTGTGTGTATGTCTGCAGGCCAGAAGAGGGCACCAGACCTCATTACAGATGGTTGTGAGCCACCATGTGGTTGCCGGGAATTGAACTCAGGACCTTTGGAAGAGCAGGCAAAGCTCTTAACCGCTGAGCCATCTCTCCAGCCCACTAATAATTTTATATAGAGAATTTATCTCTTAGAGATTAAGAGGAGAGAAGCAAAGTTAAAGAAAGAAGTGATCAGTAATTATCTTTAGTTCTGACACAGCCTCTAAATACTTTTTAATATTTTATTAACTTTTTATTTATTTTTAATGTCTCTTAAAGTACATGTAGTTTTTAAAGCTCCTATTAATTCTTGCAAATTACCAATTCTATCATTTTGGTGGTTTTCTTTTTTCCACCAAAATAAAAGTCTGGTTTGTTGAATCTGGAGAAATAAGACCCGGGGTTAAATTCACTTACCGCTCTTGCAAAGGACCCAGGTTCAGTTCCCAGCACCCACATGTCAGTTCCCAGCCATCTATAACTCTGTGTCTAGGGCATTTAGCACCCTCTTCTAGCCTCTGTGAGCACCAGACACCTACGCAGTGCACGCAAGTGCACATGTGTGTGCATACACACACACACACGAAAAACTCATACACATAAATAAAAATAAACAAATACTTTTAAAAGAAAGAATAACTATAGTTTCCTATTGGAAATTGTTTCACACATACATCAAATAAACTAAAAAATAAACAATAACTTCATATACAAAAAAGAAAGTTTTCATGTTTGCCTTTTTCCACCATTTCTTACAAATAAACTACTTGTATACAGGACGGGAACCAGAAATCGTTACTGGAATGCTCAGAAAGTGATTTCATTGTTGCTGTTTTGCTTTCTTTTCTTCAAGGTGTTTTTTTTTCTCCTTTGATATTATAATGAACGTGGTTATGCCACAAGTAAAATCAGAAGCAGGACATAGAGCCTGCCACGGGTGGCTCACGCCTTTAATCCCAGCACTTGGAAGGAAAGACATGCAGATCGTTGTGAGGTTGAGGCCAACCTGGTCTACACAGTGAGTTCCAGGACAGTCTTTGCCACGGAGAGAGACCGTGTCTCAGAAAGCCAAAGGAAAAAGGAGAACGAACTTAGAATGCTCCTAAGGTTGGGTCAGTTACCTATTATCATTGAAAGTGGCTGGTGCCTAACAATACGTACAAAAATATATAATTTAATTCCTTTTAAGTTTTTTTTTAATATTTATTTATTATGTATACAATATTCTGTCTGTGTGTATGCCTGCAGATGGTTGTGAGCCACCATGTGGTTGCTGGGAATTGAACTCAGGACCTTTGGAAGAGCAGGCAATGCTCTTAAGCTCTGAGCCATATCTCCATCCCCTGTTTTTAAAACATTTGTAGGAAAAAAGAAAATGGAAGTTTTGGTTCTTTTCCCTCCCTGTTGCAAGTTTCACAGACTGATCATTTGTGGGCAGCACTGCCCCCTACAGGCAGGCAGTTGGGTCGGCCCCTCTAATCAAAAGTGACGACATTTAGATTCTGAGACCCACAATGGAGGGTTGACTAGGTCACAGTGGCCTTTTAAATCTAACATTTTCTTTTTCGCTATTTAGTCATCCTATAGGTCTTTTGCTTCTTGATCACCTCGGCTGCCCACTAGCCCGTAGCTGCCTCAGCTTTTCCTCGTCATCACGGTCCTCTCCCCCGCCCCCATCTTCTTCCTCTTCATCTACCTCATTGTGCTTCCCCATTTTACTCATTAGCATCCCATGGGCAGGGGCATCTCTGCTATCCTCTGCTACTTCCACAAGTCCTTGGTGTGCACTGCACGAGTTCGCCTCAGAGCTGGCATCTATACTTTGACTTGGCAGGGTCCAGTGATCCAATGCAGCGGGGACAAAAGAGAACAAGAGCTGGAGAACTCTGGGAAAAAGGCTGCTGGGTGCAGGTGGCTGCAACAGGAAAGGAGCCTGACCCTGGAACAATCCATCCAAAAACGACTTTCTGGAGCACCCCGTCGTGATTTCAAATCTTAATTCAAGTAGGCTACCCAGTTATGATTTTTTTATTATTGCCGAGGACTGCTAGACTTCTGTTTTGTTGAGCACACAAAATAAGTCAATATAGAAATAGTGAATCTTGTTAGATTTTTCCAATTTTTTTTTAAATACTTGCGAGTTGACTCATACAGGAATCTAACATAAAACTGGCCGGAATACCAAATAATGTGTTTTTCTCCAAACATCTCCTCTTTCTTTAGATTAGATATGGGAGAAGTGTCTAGAGGGTTGGGGTGGGGTACTGATTGCACAAGAACAAAACAACATGTCTACTGAAGTCTATAACGAAACAAAGGTAAAACTGAATGGTTTGAAATTTTAAAAAAATGCTTTCAAAGAAAATAAACAAAACAGATAATCTCATAGGTACTGTTCTTTTGCTGTGAAAAGACACTATGGCCAAGGCAACTTTTGTTTTAATGTATTGGACTGTATGTAGGCTTGCTTACAGTTTCAGGTTAGTCCATGATTATCATGGTGGGAACAGGACTACTGGGGCAGTAGCTGAGCGCAAACAGCTGGTTCACAGGATGAAGGCAGGGAAGGAGGAATGAAAGGGAGGAGAGGGAAGAGGAGGGGATGGGAGGGGAGAGGAGGAGAGGAGAGGAGAGGAGAGGAGAGGAGAGGAGAGGAGAGGAGAGGAGAGGAGAGGAGAGGAGAGGAGG